ACCAGTGTGTTCGCAAACGAAACCAGAGACCAAATCTAACCGGCCCTAAATTTTGGCGAGTACTTCCGTACGGCAGGAATGTCTTAAATGCCGTCAGCCGTCTTCTTACTCCACTTGGAGTTGGGGTTGCACACAGGCCAGAAGCAACCATCAGGCGCCAAGTCATGAGGCCGAAAGATGGCAGGAAACGTCTGACGCCGTTTACCGGATCTGGTGCAGTTGCGGACAGAGCAACTACGTCGGAGAGACTGGGAGATTACTCCGGACGCTCATGACTGTGCACGCAGCAGCTGTGGGGAGGAAGGGCGCCGGTTCTCAGTTGGAGGCTCATTCCACGGAGTCCGACCATATTTTCGAGTTTCAAAGGCCGAAATCCTCGCAAGGGGTGATAACCGCGTGAGCCGCGCGCTGCTCGAGTCATGGTTCTCAGGCCTGCAATCCATCAACAAGCACAATGACCTCCCTGTACCATATTTAATGCTGAGACATTCCCTGAGAAGAGGAATCAGTCACGTGAGGAGGGCGCGGGCGAGCAACAACCCCGGTGACAGTGGGCCAAAGGGCCGAGTAATCATCACACAAACATCCAACATACGACGAAATTGCGGCAATTAGCGACTCGGACGCCGGGTTGACGAGCCATCATCGCCTTAATTACGACCCCCAGCGGCGATCACGAGAGATGTTAATTATAGTACTCGCGTGGCCCCACAGAAGCTGTGTACTGTAAAAACTGCAGCCTTTGGACCTCCACCATCTTCATCTGCGACCCTCTCTGATGATGGGCTCGAGTGACAATCTGAAACGTCAGGCTAATAAACTCCTTGTTCCAGTTATCGCATCTTCTTCTTCTGAACTGCTTCCTGCGACTCGCCTGTTCGCTTCTATCAGCATTTAACGCTGTCCCACACAAACGCCTTCTTCATCAACGGAGCACCCTCGGCATCCGGGAAGATCTTCTCAACTGGATAAGGGCGTTTCTGTTTGGTCGAAAACAGCGTGTAAGAATCGGAGATGATATGTCAGACTGGGTGAGTGTGACTATTTGTGTGCCTGAAGCCCCACTTCTCGGACACTTTACGTTACTGAGACAAAATAGTGTCTGCCGACACCAAGCTCTGGCAAATCATTAAGGTCCCAAAGGACCAGAAATCCCTTCAAAATAATCTGTACCGACTGCGTACGTGGTCCGAGAAATGACTTCTAAATTTCAGTGTGCGGAAGTCTGCCGTCCTTCGCCTACGTCCAGACAACGGTCATTCAAATGACATCATGAGGGTATACCACCTGAAGGACATCACTCTTCCCGCAGAATCTTCGCAGAATGATCTCGATCTTTTGATACAGGTCAGCATTAAACCTGCACCGCTGTGCACCTAGACGGCAGAAAACGCCATAGGAATACTCTATGCGGTCGAATGGGCGTTTGTAACCTTTGATAAAGACCTTTCTGGCAGAGGTTTCGGCTTCTGTGTTCGGCCTCATCTAGAATACAGCATACAGGCGTGGCGGCCATGACTGGCAAGGGACCAAACTTTGCCTCGAAATAGTGCAACTCCGTGCAACAAAACTGGCAACGGATTTAAGAAAGCAATCTTACGTGGAAAGTCCGAATTGTTTTAATTTATTCCCTCTCTGTTACGGACAGCAAAGAGGTGGTCTTATCGTGGTTTACAAGATAATACATGGCCTTGAGCATGGACTGAGCTTTGAGGACGTGTTTCAGTGGCACCTTTGCCCAATCTGCGTGGCCTCTCGGTAAAACTACGTAGAAAAATGTCCGGGCTGAACCTCTGCTCCAAATTTTCTTGCATAAATGGCAGTGGAGAAATAGACTGATCTCTCTCAATCAGCCGTGGAGGCAAGATCCCTGCAGCTCTTCAAGAAAAGGTTGGATGATTGTTTGTGCCCCCTCGACAGTCTGAACCTGAGCTGAATACCCCGTGAACCAAAGGAAGTTCGTCTTTTAAAACAATGCTACTTAAATCATGCAAGTGCTGTTTTGTGGACGACAATTTTCATCATTCGTGTACAGTTGTATCTAACAGACTATCATGTAATCAATAGGGTTGCCAAAGACCTGGCCTATCATCCTTACCAAATAAAATAAAAAAAACTTTGGTAATGTTGAATCCAGGGCAACATTTGAGTCGTTTGAAAGATTCATCTCGTGCAGACTGCAAAAAATGGTTATTGGTACTACAGCATTCGAATGGGTACCAGTAGAAAGTGTTACTCCACAGGGTTTGGTCATGTGTCTTCTCCTACGCCTCATCTATGTAGACGACTGTACTGATGGTCTTGACTGCGACGCCATGCTGTTTGTGGGTGATATGAGAATCTGGAGAATAATCAGCTGTGCTGACGACGCGCAGAAATTGCAAGAAAATGTTAATAATCTGACCGCGTGATCAGGAAATGGTCTCTAACGTTTGATGCATTCAAATGTATAGTCATACGGTTGGAAGTTAGGCGAAGACGTCTCCCGAAATACCAGTACACTATAAGTGAGCTTCAATTAAGATGAATGAATGCGCATAAAGGTCAAGGTATTTGGACAAGTTCGAACTTGCTGCTCTCCGAACACTGTAAATGGAACTCCAAAAGGCAAGGAATACCATGCACTGGATTAGGCGTACTTTCGTAGTTTTTCCTACCCAACTCCTTGCGCCGATCTTTAATGCCTATGTAAGACCGAATTTGGATAACGGAGTGCCCCCATGGATGCCGTGGATGAAGGAAGACAAGGATTCCATCGATAAGGTGCGACGAAGGGCGAAAAAAGTGGTGGACGGCCTTAGAACTCCGTCATATCCAAAAACACTCGTCAAACTCAATTCGTTCCCACTATCCTATAAACAGAAGAGGTTTAACCTGCTGTGAAAATTTCGCCCTATCAGCGGGCATAATCGTTTGCCCAACTCTGGAAATTTCTTTGAGTTTACGAACATAAGTCACCTGCGCGGTCATCCATACAAGATCAGACGCGAGTGTCCGCTCCTAGACCGGTGGAAGTTTTTTTTTAGTCAGCCGATAGTTTGACCACGGAATTAACTCCAAGTGGAATGACGGCTCGGCCATCGCATCCGACGATGTCAACCGTGTGCTCCACAGAAAGGTGAAGAAGGTCACGGTGACTTGCGCGTGGACAAGCTTATAGTGAGTGTGGACTTGCGCTGCATCTACCACGCTCTCCTCTCCTCCTCCACCTGAGCCCGGTGTAAAGATAGAGTCAGGAAGATCGGAGACGGGGGAGGGCGCAGGTGGATGGGGCAGCTAAGCCCACACCTTGGCTCTCCACTCCACACCTCCTGGTCCACGCAACAACTGACCAGGATTTTAAACAACAGCAAAAACACCACAACCGGTCAGAAGGACGAGGATGACTGGGCAGCTATGCGCAGGACCTGTATAACTAGCAGGAGCGCAAGCGCATCTACCGGCAGGGAACCAGGGGTCAGAGAGCTTCCAGCGCATACCAGACTGCGAGGACCATGGTTTGCTGATACTGGCATAGCACACACTTTCAGACCTGCTGATAGCATAACACAATCTGAGCATGGACCAAGGGCCAATGCGACGGTTTACCGTTTGCTCCACAGCAAGATGAAGCGGGCACGGTGACTTGCGCGTGATTTATTTTATAGTGAGTTTCGACTTTTGCTGCATCTTCTGCACTCTCTCCTCCCTCCCCCCCCCATCTGGGCACGGTGTCAAGACAAGGTCGAGAAGACTGGAGACGGGGGGACGCAGGTGGCTGGCGCGGCCGAGCCCGCACCTCGGCGACTTATTCCACACCCCCTAGTCCACTCAGCAAATCAGCAGGTGAGGAGGAGGAGGAGGAGGAGGAGGAGGAGGAGGAGGGTTATAGGTCAGCCCTGCTCACTACCTGTATATCCAGCGGGAACGCAAGTGCATCTGCTGGCGGAGAACCAGGTGTCAGAGAACTGCCGACGCATACGAGGCCGTAAGGGTCATGGTTTGTTAATCTTGGCATAGCAGACTTTTGCTGACCCCTAGGTCCAGACGGGTAACAAGTGGTCCTGCATTGGCCTGGATCGTCACCCTTCAAAGACAGGATAATCAAACAGTCGTCGACTGAGAGACGCTACCCATAAGCGTGCACACACGCACACACACACGACCGTCGTTGCCGACGATATCCACCTTCTGCCCCACAGCAAGGTGAGAGCAGGGATGGTGACTTGCGCGTGATTTAGTTCATAGTGAGTAGATTCTACCTCACTCTCTCCTCTCCACCTGGACCCGGTATCAAAGCAGAGTCAAGAAGATCGGAGGCGAGGGAGGATGCAGGTGGCTGGCACGGCAGGAGCCACGCCTTGCTCGGATCCCACAGAGAGGGAGTGCCATAAAGGCCACACTAAGAAGGAGCCATTGCAGCCCGACACTTAGACCACCAGTCGGCCGCTCAACAGAAACACACAAGACTGGGCCGACTGCGAGGTCCGAGTTATCCCCTCAGTTGGCACCTTTCAAGTCACGCCTTTTAGCGCATGTTCGCCAGGACGGCACGCAGATCCTCGTAAAATTAGTCTCTTGCAACTTCAGGGCCGGTCATCGGCGGAGCGTAGGCGCTGGTGATGGTGGCGGATTTGCCTCCCCGTAGAGGCAACGGAGGCTCACAGGCGATCGTTGATGCTATGCGGCAGACAGGTCAGTCGTCCCACCACGGATGGCAAAGGTGACTCCCGCATCCCGTCCCTCTGACTTGGGCTGACCGTTCCAAAGAAAGGCGTAGCCGGTACCCAGCTCATCCAGTTGGCCTTGTTCGGAGAACCGGGTCTTGTTGAATGCGACAATGTTCACCCTGTAGCGCGCCAGTTCCCGAGCCACTAGCACCGTCCTTTGTTCCGTTCTGTTTCTCCTCGGATTGTCTAAAGGAGAACGAACATTCCAGGTTTCCAGAGTGAGTGGACGCACGCTACCAGTCGGGTGAGTGGGACGGCGGGAGGAGCAAGAGGAGGAGGTGTGAGAATAAGATGAAGAAGAAGAAGAAGAAGAAGAAGAAGAAGAAGGATACCTTTTCTAGCCCCTCTCCCTCGCAGGGGTGAGCAGTGCCACCCTAAATAGAGCTGCTAAGTCGTCGCAGGCGGATGCCGAACTTCACTATGGGCCAAGTCTTTGGTGTATTGGAAGAACGACTCGAGTTAGCCTCGGACAGCCTACGGCATCGTCGCAAGCTCGTGGCCTCCTGCAGTGCTCCAGACGGAGCCTTGTCTCGACGATGCCGATGCGAAGTTCCATCTGACCAACAGATTCCCCATTGTTCAATAAAAATAACAAGACCATGTGCGCGACCGCCATGGGTCAATCCGACGACAAAAAAGACCATGAAGAAGAAACCGTTGCTTTTTATATCGAAGAAGTAAGACGCGTCCTCATTCAAATTAAACCAGATAAGTCTCCTGGACCCGACGGAATTCCCGGCCTTATACTTAAGAAGCTATCAACGGAGATGTCAAAGCCTCTTTCGACTCTCTTTCAGTTGTCAATGAGGACAGGAAGGCTGCCATTACAGTGGAAGACAGCTAACCTCATTCCCTTACATAAGGGAGGTAGCAGGATTACAGCAAGCAGCTTCAGGTCTGTTAGCTTAACTTGCTTCCCATGCAAAACGATGGAAATTCTAGTAAAGAGCTATGTACAGCAATTTTATGAAGAAAATAACATCTTGTAGGATTTTTAACATGGCTTCCGGAGAGGACGTTCTGCCTCTCAAATCTGCTAGCTTGTCTGGAGATCTGAACCAGGGCTCTAGAAGAGGGTTTCGAGATCGATGTCGTGTACATCGATTTTCGCAAAGCTTTCGATACTGTTCCGCACCAATGCCTTCTTCACAAATTGAACGCCATTAGCATCCGGGGGATCTTCTGAACTGGATTAGGACGTTTCTGGTTGGTTGGAAACAACGTGTCTGTATCGGGGATGATATGTCAGAATGGGTGAGTGTGACCAATGGTGTGCCTCAAGGCTCAGTTCTGGGACCATTGCTCTTCATCCTTTATGTTAATGACAGCCTTCAGGAAAACGATTTCAGTAAAATGATGTTTGCCGACGACTTTAAGCCCTGACAAGTCATTAGGGGCTCAAAGGACCAGAAATCCCTTCAAAATAATCTGCATCGACTGCAAGCGTGGTCGGAGAAATAGCTCTTAGATGTCAATGTGGAGAAGTGTGCCGTCCTTCATCTGCGCCCAACCAACTCTCATTCAAATGAGAGCCTGAGGCCATATCACCTGAAATATATAATGCTTCCCGCAGAATCTTCACAGAAGAATATCGGGGTATGGATACAGAACAACCTGAAACCAACACTGCATTACCACAAGGCTTCAAAAAACGCCATGGGAGTGCTCCATGCAATCAAAGGGGCGTTCGTAACCTTTGACTAAATTCTTTTTGGGAAAGTTTACGGTATCTTTGTTCGGCCCCACTTAGAATATGGCCTACAAGTATGGCGGCCATGGCTAGTAAAGGACCAAGCATGCCTCGAACGGGTACAACGCCGCGCAACAAACCTGGTAAACGATCTAAAAAGCCAATCCTACACAGACAGACTGAATTGCCTTAATTTATTCCCTCTGTGTTACAGGCAGCAAAGAGGTGATCTTATCCTCGTCTACAAGATAATATATGGCCTTGAGCATGGACTTAACTTTGAGGACATGTTTCAGTGGCACCTTTCACCCAATCTTCGTGGTCACTCGATGAAGTTGCGGACAACAATGCCCAGGCTGAATCTTCGTTCTGAATTCTTCACGCAGAGGGTAGTGGAGAAATGGAACGATTTCCCTCAGTCAGTCGTGGAGGCTACGCCTCTGCAACTCTTCAAGAAACGCTTGGGTGATTATTTGTTTCCCCGTTTTCCCTCAACAGTCTGAATCTGAACTAATACCCCATGACCCCCCAAATAGTTTTCTTGAGATAATACTACTCAAATGAATCAAGTACTGTTTTAATAGCAAATATTTTCATTGTTCGTGCACAGTCATTTCTAACGAGCCGACATGTAATCAATAGGGTTTTCAAAGGCTTTGTCTGTTCTCCTTATCAAATAATCTGAATAAACTGATTCCACAATGCCATGCACGCAGATGCACACACGGACACCCTCACTTGGTTCAGCTCCCCGGTCGAGACGGTTAACGGGGTGTGGCCGCTATGCAGAGCCTAACTTCTGAGAGCCACATGTGAGAGTTGAGTGCCATCAAGTGGACGCTATGCGCAGTCTGCACCTGCATGCTAGTGAGCGACCTACTATGACCATCACGTGAACCCATCGCTGGACACCCCCTCATATACATGGATGTTACACATACCTCAAGACGGAGCCGTGACAGCCTGGCCCTCAGAAAACCAGTCCGCCACTCCACACAAACACACACAGCGGAACAGACCGCATGGACTGATTTGGGAATTCAGACGACAGTCTTCCATGCCACGGCGATTGGCGCACCGTGATAGTCTCAGACTCCGATCACACAGGCACCGGAGGAGCCCTATGTAACAGGAACGGAAATGTCCACTTCCCACTTGCGTGGGCGGTGGCAAGTGGGTGCTAGTGGTGGGTGATGTTGTGCGATGTAGTTGGGGGGAAGATGTGATGGTGTGAGTTAGCCGGCGGTTGTCTACCGCAGGTCCTCGTGAGTGCGCATGTGACCATTAAAGCCCACGCGTTGACTGAATACGCAGACGCAGTGACGGCAGTTGTAGCGGATGCGGCGAGCATAGGTTGGTGCTCCACACACTGGTTCGCCAGTCTCTGTGTGATGAATTCGTAAGTGACCGACGAGGCCGACATGTGGGGTGAATGTGTGACCGCAATGAAGACACGCATGGACTGAGTCCACGTCGGTGAAGGTAGAGATGTTTATGATGTTTGAAGTTGCTGGGACGTCGGACGTCGTCCCATTGGTGAGGGGAGTGCTTGAAGACGTGTTGGTGGTTGCGCTGGCCTCTGCGGTCCATGAACGTATTGGGGCAATGAGGATGATGTCGGTGGGCGGTGGCGGCGGGGCAGCAACAGTGTGATTGGCGTTGACTGGGGTGGCAGTCGGCGTGGGGTTTGCGGCAGGAACGAGAGTGGGAGCAGAGGTAGGCGTTGTCGGGCTGATGGCGCATTAGGTCCTAAGGTGCCCAACCGACTCGTGCGCTGAACGCGCGCTGACAGCGCGAGCATCTTGGAAGCGGCGGACGTGAAATGGTAACATCTGATACCATGTTTGCATTCAAAAGGTAGCTGGATTGTTTGATTTTTGATAAACGACGACCTTCCGCAGGAATGTTTACAGTCACCCATGGACCTTTTTTCAAGGTTTTATTTCCTATTTAATTCATCCCTGCGCGTGTTATGCAGACTGTACCCACAAACTTTGTAAATAACCATATTTTGGGCTGAACGTATGTAATTACATTTATGTACACGAAAAGGGTCATCTATGGGTTTGCCTGTAACCGTCTAAAAAATTAAGGGTGGCCGGGTTCAGTCGCATACTGATAATGCAATGCTCCATACGTGTGATATGTTACAACAATTTAGTAGCACGTTTAGTTGAACCTGAATATGGCGTGTATCGTTTTGAATAGGGTCTTCAAATGCATTGACTATTACCCTTAAATATGCTGTACATACATACACAAACGCAATTAAACGGAAGGGCTTTCAACAGTCGACTCTGTTCAGTTCCCCTCTGCAGAAAAATGGTGAGATCCAGTCTTCATGCGATAATAGGGTTGCAGGCAAACAACGTGCCAACGGTAACTTGTGTTTTACTTAATTGTTCCAATAGAAGTGAATTCCTTGTATAATAATTAAAAGACGAACGACCTTAGCGTCTTGAGCAGTCGGCTTCCATCATTTCTTGCAACAGTTCGACGGCAGATTCGTGACAAATAGCCCGCTAACAGTGCTCACCCTGTCCAGACTTTACAATTACGGCAGGCTGCCCGAAAGCCAGAGTGCAAGTATCGTAAAAGTTGTATCGTTTCATATGCAATGCGGTGAAAGTTCATATATTGTAGAGAGTGATGACGGTTAAGCGGGCACGCCAGATCGACCACCGCAAGCGACGGTGTCCACTGTGTGCTCCGCAGCATGGCGGACGTAGAAAGGTTTCTTGCCCGAGATAGGTCATAACAATGGCAGACCAACGCATCATCTGCCACACTTTTTTCCCCTCATCGTCCATAATCCCATAGCGTGGCAGAGGCAAGACGGCCGGAGATAGCCTCAGACGCAACGACTGAGAAAGCTGAACAGCACGCCTGTGTAGACCACAAACTATACGGTCCTCGTACGATGGACTATGTTTTTACGGAAACAGGAAAAAGGAGGCCCGAAACGCATCCGAATGAGGGCACAACAGATGCCACATTTAGAAGGGGCCCCTTCTAGCCTGACGTTTCTTTTTTAGAGGACCGAATTAGTCCATCAGTTGGCGGTCTTCCACGCTACAATATTTAGCGGATCGTGATAGTTTAAATGCGTGTCAGATCAGTTACAGAGGAGAATGTGTTGTGCTGCCTTGGAAACGGAGTCCCTAGAGTCGACTACTTTCTCCCTTCTGCGCACTAGTCTGCTATCAAATTCGGTCCGTTATCCGATGCAGGATATGGGGTCAGGTGACCAGCAGGGCTCAATGGCCGGTCTGCGCATGCCATACGACGTGGTCTCCTCAGTTAGGCAGGTATGTAGCATGTTAGGCGGTCAGAAAAGTCAAAGACGTGCTCATCACTTATTGTAGTTTGTTCGGTGGTGATGGCCAACCCGCCAGTCCCTTCGGTTACGACGTTTATGGGAGGGTGTTCGTCTTCATCCACAGTCCCGGGAGTCAAAAGTCGAAAATATTGACGAGACTGTGCGTGTCTCATTTTAAAAGTCACTTCTTTAGACGGCCTCTTCCGATGTCTCGTGGCTTCAAGTGCGACATTCAGCCCGAACACAATGCGTCTCCTGGTTCCCAGTTCAAAATTTCGTCCGAACGCAATGCCTTGTGAACTACTCGTCGTGCCCTTAACTGGGATAAGTATAACCGTAAAGCCTTCACTTTGTTGACTTTGCCTCCTTCCAAGGGAAGGACGTTAACCCAAGGTACAATTCATTGAGCTTGTCCTGCGCCACAAGCCATTTTACGTAGACCTCTCTGTAAAATCCCTGAGCTGTCACGGCGTCAACAAGGTCTCCGTCATCTAATTCGACGAGTATATCTATGGGATCAAGAAATTCTAGATATACAATGAGAAGACGAAGACTGTTTGCAAGTGCCACCGAGGTATAGTGAACTTGGCAGTTCGTGAGATGCGCAGGAATTTGCAAACATTTATAGTTACCAGCAAACCGGCGTAAAGAATAAACCAAAGCTCTCAATCAATAATAAACGATTTCGAGTAAAATTAAAGCATAAAATAAGCACTGGAAGAAATATTGTACTGTTTAGAAACAACAACTTTTTAGAAAAGAAGAAATTCTGAAAACTTCAAAAATCGATGTAAATGGACAAACTTAGGTTTTCGGTGCACAGAAAGCCTGTCTATGCAAACATCCGAATAAGCAGAACAGCACAGGCATAAAAAATTGAAAATGGTCCTTTCATGAGGTTTGCTCTTTGATTTCCTGTTGGACTCAGTGTACTGTCAAGTTTGATGGCTGGCCAACAGCCTATAGTTTGAGTTTAGATTCTAAGGCGGTTTTATGAGAATTTGCTGCACTTTCCTCGTTTTTGCAGGTGGCTAAGGGAAGCTACAGGTCACTTGATTTCGCCTATGCAGAAGGCAAGGGAAAAATGTTTTGTAAGGTCGCACGTTGATGGGCCGGTTAGCGACTGATAAAGTTGAACAGAACTGGCAGCTGCATCTGTATTAGCCGAAGACGTTGAGGGTAGCATACACGGGCAACGTGAAGTACTGAAGATAAATTCTGACCTAGAACGACCTGGACGAGGTTGTTAGATGCCCACCATTCTCATCAAACAGTGATAAAGAAGAGATAAACGAGTACAAATTATATGCTAGGAAGGAGTTTCATTTGTAGGGAAATGACAATGACACAGGAGAGATGAGTCACACCAGAAGAACGAAACAACTGCAAGGGAGTTGATGTTGACATTTCTGCTAGACACCCGGTATTGATTGCGGTGTTGGGGACAACTACAGGGGAGGGCTGTCGAAGGTCTTGTCGTGAAGCGGGATAACCATCACGGCAAACGGTTAGAACTTCGGGAAGGGGGTCAGCGGTTATGTAGAGACAAGGCACCGGTTATTTTCCCTGACACGTGGTTTCACCACCTCCATTCTGGATCCGTTCCAGTAGTGATCACTACGTTCGAACAACCCAGTCCAATTCGTTGGGCCTTATAAATCGTAAGCATGTCATTTTGTGTGTACTGAGGGGACTTTCTCTCCGCAAGATTTCAATATACAGTTTCTGGAACTGGAGTGTAGGGAGTGAAAATTTAGCAATATCCAATGTTTTTAATAGTTTGTATTTAAAGATAAATTCTGTATAATGTATTTGTCAAAACCTTCAGAATATAATATTTTTGAAAGCATTTACCGAAGTGTTGTGAGCTTGAGCATTTATTCTAACCCAGTCGACCGTTTGTGTTTTATCTGTGGCGCTAACCGATCTAGTCTGCTGATCTCACTTCCTCTTCTGCTCATTTCGTCCAACGATCGGTTGTTGTCACCAAATTGGAAACTCGGTTTTCCAGAGAGTCTTCTCTTTTTCCATAAAATCGAATGTCCGAGAAATATGTACGTCGGCAACGACATTTGGCAATGAATCTTCATTAGGTCAATTAAAAAATTCCTCGAACAAGTTGTCTATTTAAGGAGCAATTGAATAAGGCTGTTTGTGCACGGATGACTGATAAATTATTTATGAATCTTTATGCAAATGGGAGATTTCGGGGGACGGGTTAGAAGAAAACATAAAGTGTACAGCATATGAATCGCTTAAAGCTGAACGCCCCCATTTTCGTCACCAAGTTTCATGAGTTCGGATACTTACTGTTTGTGGACGCGAGAAGAATTCTGCAATAAAAACCGGCTAACTGACGTTTAAGGAAAGGGTAATTTAATCAGAAGGAGGTCGCCCACGCCTCAACACTGATGTTGAAGTAAGCGAGAATTTCTATCTCAAACATATATAACTACAATAGACTCAAGACGCGTGAAATGTGTCATCAATTTTGCGTACGTAATGTATATGTGCATATAAACTAAAAAAATTATGCCTGAAAATAATGAACGTTTAGATGGCGTACTTACTAGACACATGCGTTTAGCATATTACGGGGACAGTGTTCATCGAAATGTTCGCCCGACTGATTCTTGTGAAGAATATAAACACGCTCCTATCAAGCGTACCTTTCTGAGCCCCAATCAGCGCGTCCAGTGTGCCTAATACTCTGTCCAAACGGCATACACTGATACGCAAAGAGACCATACTGCATGCGGCTTACTTATTTGTATTTTTCAATGTGAAATATGGCATTAAATTGGCCTTATTTTTGGCTTTTCCACCCTTACTCATTTTATAGTCATTTTTTCTTCTTATTGTTTGGCAGTTTTGCCATCTACCCAGTTTACTTTATGACTTTTCAGGTTTTCCTCGAGATTTTTCTGTGGCTTAAATTGAGCATGTCTCCTAAGAAAAGAGTGGAAGTGTATTTAGACGACTGAATAGCCCCAACCTTCGCTTCAAACTTGAGAACGTTCGCAATTTGAGCACCCCGTGTCATGAGGGGCACAAACAAAAGTGCTGCATTTAAAAAACGGCGCTGAGGTTGTTTTTGCCCGTTTTGGTAGACGTATTGTCTAGCTGTGAGGTAATAGTTTGTCTGGTCTTGCTTCCTGCATAAATTGTGGCATTTCCGATCTCTTCAGAATTTGTTTATTTAAAAAAACCAGTTTGTCTTCGGCGAATCTAGAACGTTTATTTAGTCATTTATCTGAGCTTACGAATTCGACCCTTTAGGTCGATCGAACAGTATGAATAACACCATGGTTTTTATATCGTAGTTGGTCCACCACCCATTTTATAGGTACTTGGCATTTTTTAGACTATGGTTCCAATCAACAATTTGTAAATACTTCAAACTTCGTCCACCCTGGCAGCAATGTACGCCCGTTTCTGTGATAGGACGTCCTATCACATAGCAACCTCGCTGCCTGCATAAAGGCGCTAGTAACTGGCATTGCTAGCACGCAGATTTGCCTTGATGCCAATAGTTTGCTGAGACTCCGAGAAGACGGACAGTCAGTTATAAGCTTGTCTGTAGATGCCTGACCTCAGTTTCGGGCAGTCAACTCTCATCGCCAACCTCACTAACAAGAAACTTCAAAGTACGTGACGCCCTATCGACCATAGGTGCATTCACCACCAGTGAAACTCGGTGGCGCAGCCCGCGTCTGTACTCACGCACTCCAGTACTTAGCGATTTCCCGTATTGACCAACCGACAACTAGCATATTGCTGGTACAAAACGGCGGCACATTTCCTGGTGGCGTGCTGTATCATCGCTTTCAAGGCCAGCATGTGTCGTGGCCATTAAACATTGCAAGAAATTTAATCGTGTTTGCTAGCCAGTATTCTTCATCCTCTGTAGAAGCTGTCGGTTGAATGTGGTGCTTTTATACCTCTTGTTTTCGTTGTTTTGCAGATTGTATATCTGTGTATCCTAAGTTGTCTGGTTGTTCGTGGCGAACGAAATGTGTTTCCACGGTCTTTCAGGTTTTTATATAGTTCATTTAATCGAGTAAGAGATGCTAGCAGGTTGTGGTAGACTGCAGGACTTTCGTATGCACGAAGTTTGTTGTCGCCCCCACCACCATCATTAGTTCGGAACATGATGAATCTGAAATCCAACAATATGTCAGGGGCTGAAACTGCATGCAACTGTCTATTTGGATTATGGAAGAAGCAAGGCTTCCCATGATACAAGCCGCTCAAGTGTTCTGTTTGCAGTTTATTCACCCCACCGACTCTTAATCACACGTAATTACTTGCTTGATACTCGGTACGGCTGCGATCATGTCTAATCTAGCCGACCTCGATGATGTCCGGGACCGTACCTCATCACGCGTGAAGATCCACGGCAGCAGATCCGGACAGTTCAACTCATCCTCATCGTCAACGAATACGGAAGGCCCAAAACCCACCTCTATGTCATGACGAACTATGTTGAGCCAGGTTTTGAGTTGACCCCCCCCCCTCGACGTCTCCAAGCGGGTAACGATGTCGGATCGAACGCAGTAACACCGAGCTCCTGAGGTGGATGACGAAGAGCATGCCCAAACCACCGCAGTCGCCTTTCCTGGATGGCCTGGGTTATCCTTGTGATGTCGCAGCGAGCGCGGGCTGTCTCATTTGAGACGAAGTCGGTGTATTTCACTGGAGAGATGGTCCTCAAGCAGTGATCAAATACCTCCAGTTTTCGCTCGTCCTTCACGCGCACAGCCCAGCATTCACAACCATGGAGAACGACAAACCGAGCAGATGTACGGTACACACGAATCTTAATGGCCATGGAGAGGTCGCGTCGGATCCGTAGGCATTTTATAAGGCTCGGGAAAACCCGTCGGGCAGCATCAGTTTGCGAGACAATGTCACCCTTACTCTGCCCATTCGACAGCAGCCTCGCCCGAGGTATTTAAAACTGTACTTCTTCAAGTTGACAGCCATCAATCCCGAGAGGTGCCTTCTCCTGGTCAGGGATGCAGCTTGTAAACACTTCAGCCTCCCAGCGTTTATGAACAAACCGACCAATTTAGCAGTCTCGTTCACCCATGACAACATAGACCGCAGTTCACCTCAATCACACGGTGAAACTTTTCCGAGAAATACTCAAGTATGACATGCTTTTCAGGAACCTGCTTCTTAACTGTGTGGAGCTTTCATTTTTCTAGTTCTTTTTGGTACCTTTTAATGCGTATTTCCTTAAAACAGTACTACTTTCGTCATTTTACTCCACTTATAGAATGCCTCTGCAAATTTTCCTGGTTCGTTTGTTTGCCTATTTCAGTTTTCTTTTGATTAAGCAATGCGTCCTTTCTTTTCCCAACCTTTTCAGGTATGTTAGCCAGTAGCAATGGGGCCTGTGATTCAGTACCGTCTGTATCTCTACCATCTGTGACTGCTGAGATACTTGAGTATTCTTTCACTGCAGAAAACAGAAATATTGCCCCCAACCTTATGGATACTGACCAGAAGAAGGAGACACCGGCGAAGTCCTCAGTAAAATCAAGGGTTAGAAATTCGAAAGCACGAACAACTCCCAGAGCTTCAAGCGCACAAAAGAAGGCGTCTTCAGAGAAATGGAGCAAAAAGCCTCCTATAAGACGCCTTTTCTCAGCCTCGAAAACTTTAAAGCAGACTCGGACTTCAAAAAAGACTGCCAAGATTACCCGGTTCGTGAGTGAGGACTATACCTGGCACTGTTGGCAGTGCTTTCGAGCCTTCGCAGATGAGAATGATTTCTCAAAACATATAAAATCCTGCTCTGTTAAACGCATCACTTCCCTTTCCTCTGGTTCTGTTTCCCCATCCGCCATGGCAGCACTTCCTGGTTGTCCTTTCTGTCCTCGCGACGGTTTTCAGTCGGATTTAAAACCCTTTTTCTTTGGTGATTTCAATGCACACGTTCGTGTTGCGCACAGCAAGGTCAAAGAATTGTCCTGTCCATATTGCCTGGGAAAAACGTCCCGTCGCCTTCAGGAGCTTGTCTCGCACATCGTTCTTGAGCATCGTGTTCATTGGCGCCCGACTCCAGGTAATGGGACTCCCTAACACTTCATGCCTTCCATCTTACTGACCATGAAAAGCACTTATGTTTTAATAGTTTCAAATAAATTTTGACTCATACACATAATCCGTGTCTGTGCACTGTACGTAGTCTCCCACTCTGGAGTGCCGTTTTCGATGTGTATCGCTTCCTTAGCATCAGCGTAACTGGCCTCGACTGTCACTTCACCCACTTTTCAAAACTGACCATGTAATAAAAGAAGAACAGCTGCATGCACGTAGACTAATCGAATATTCAGGAACTTACCGGGTCGCAACAGCTCGTCCACTTTGTGAGAAGAGTTGCATTGTCAGCCTCTTATAGAAGCGTTAACTAGTCAGAAACTACGAAATTCAGTATTGCCTTTTTTAGTGAAGTACTGCAACTTGACTATCGGAATGCTTACATTTGTTCCTCATCCTGCTCGCGCATCGTATGTGTGCAATAGCCCACTACGAATATTCCGATTCTTGTGAACTTTAATTACTTGCCCCATCCCAGCGTTATTGTTTCTGAAGACTATAAAAGGCTCGAAACTGTCTCGGACTGCCTTCTCCCACCCCCCCCCACACCGGTGTAAGGGAGGTAAAACTGATGGATTAGGCAGGGACGCCGTGAGTCCTGTGACAAAGGCACTGTCACCCGGAAAAGAAGTCAGGGGTTGCTCTGAAGTTTAGGAATCCTGCTAAAACTACTGAGCACATTTTGGTGACATTCCGAGCTTTCAGAAATCATCCTACACACCGGGTGAATATTTTGTCAGATGACACCTAGGCGGAGGCCTTGGCCTTATTTTACATCAGTTGACGACCTTCCGTAACTTCCTACCAACTCATTTTTCCCACCTATATGACCTGTTTTCCCTGTTACCAACTGGAAATGACAGTCTGGGCTGAGGCTTCAGTCGTCCTATCACAGTCTCGTAAACCGAGAATGAAGCTGATTCCCTTGTAAACACCCATAGCGTACAGGTAATTTCAAACCTACTTAAATCCCTCTCGTTTCCTTCTCTCTTTGACGTGCGATGTGCTCACCCTGATCTCTTTCGTCATCTCACCTGAGCGACCCTCCACCGTCGGGACTCCTAGTGTTTATCCCTTTAAACAGGTTGAAGCAACCCCTTAATAGCCAAATCTCAGCTTCTGATAGGTTTAACATAGTGGCAAGGGTTCTTCAGTGCGTCGGTAATTTGTCTTGCTTAGTTTTCCGTGCTCTGGTATCCTTTGGTAGTTTGGGCATTCCTTAATTTACTTTTCGACACTTCAGAGATTGAGGTAACCGTGCTTATTACGATGGTGCTAGTGTCGTTGCAGTCTTACCGCTTTGAACTTTCTGCCTTCGTGCTCAGCTTCCCTGGTCTACCTGCGGACCGATGACGTGGTGCATCGTGTCGTCACCTGCCTGGGTTGCGGCTGGTGCACCTTTGTCTTGCGCGCCAGCGACGCAGTCCAACCACCCACCTCTCTGAGTTCGCACCTGAGCCGCTGCGCCAGTCACGGCGGTCAGATCCATCTGGTGCGCCTGTCCCCTGGCAGTGACGGTGATAAGCCCTCCCGCCAGACCGTGGCCCGTCTAACCGAAGCTGCCTGCGCGGTGAGTGAGACCTTTGGCCAGCGCTTCCCCGGTGTACGTGGCTTCACAGATCTGACAACCAAACGGCCGCCCCCACTGGCTCTAAAGTACGAGTCACCCCTGCGCAACAAACATGTCGTCCCCGAGGTGCGAGTCAATGAGGGTAAGGTGATTGAGAGCACTGCTGTCACCAATGTCACTTCTGAGGAAGTGGAATCTGCGCCGACCCAACCGCCTGTGGAGCCATCTCTTGTAGTTCAAGATAGTGAAGTAACAGAGAAGTCGGACCCCGTGAATGAACAGGCAAGCCGGTTAAACTCTAAATTTTGCATTATCTTCACTTGGGTAGATCTTACCCTGAGGGACTCCAGCAGTGCCTGATCGCATTTCTGCGCAGATACTATGGAAGCTGCGTTTCGCAGCTCTAAAATGGGATTAAAGTAATTTTAGTCTCCTATACTAGTTTTTATCATCCTGACAAACCCTACAGCAAACTTACAGACACCTCCGATGTTTGGAAACAATTTACATGGCGTTTTTTGAAACTGTCCAGTCGAGAGAATAGAGACACCAAACTAAACAAAACAACTGTAGAAAACAAATACAGTATTGTTTTCGCACCGCCGGTCTCATCAACAACGCGGTAGGTTTTCTGGAAACTGGTTTTTAAACGGCCTCATACCAATTTGGTCAAGGTCCTTTATAAATGGTGTCTGTCCTATCAGGCCGCACTACAGTCGCACAGGGAATGTAGTTAGAATTACGTGGAACAATGCCGTCCTTGTCGGGTTGACATTTTGCGGCTTCCGTTGACCCCCTTTCAGGACATGGTGATGCTTTCAGGACGCCCCTCCTCAGTCAACGGTGCCCCGTCACCACAAACATTTGATTGAAGGCTGGTATCGCCTGCTTAGCAGTGATGTTACTAACACATGCCTGGATGCCTGCCGTTGTCCACGCATACACCTGTGTCCGCATAATCACATGCTTAATTCCGAGTTCCCCGGAGGGCTGTTGGTAGATTTCGTGAAGTCTATACCACTGTTAAATCACTGCTTGGAACGCGGAGGGCTTGGTGACTGCCAGAGCAAGTAAGACTACCCTACACTGATCCCTGTCGTTCTTGGGTTTCATTGGCTGCCCGGTTGATTACACCAGGCAGAATTTCCAACGACTATTTCCAATGGACCCAACCGTAAGAATCTCACACTTGCTCTCTAGTTACTACCCTTTTATCATAGCCATTTAAACAGCATTGCGTTTAAGCACTGGCTTTACCAGGCCGGCAGCGAAGTGCTCCTCGGACATGTATGTCGCAGCCAGCCATATGCCTGTTCTATTAGCTAAATAGTTAATCCGCATGGCTCGCGTCCAGTAACTCGGTCGACCCTCGTTTCCCAGCCCTGTTTGGTGAAAACAGTGTTCTAGTATCGGTCTCTGTGTTTTGCTCCTGTCGTTGTAATCGAACCCGAAGCCTTAACTGAAGCTACTGTTTTGGTCTGAGACACTCATTTTGATGTTTTGACATGTCCATTTTCGTGTTATAGCGTAATCTGGCACTTCATCTTTAATTGGACTTGCAGACCGAGCTTGGAAAGGTAGCACGGTCAATATTCAACCAAGTTAAACGCCATTTCGTTTAGCATTCTCAAAATTCCATCCTTAGCCGTTCGATAACTACCCTGAACACCGGATTACTGACCTTATCCTCTTGTTTTTCCTATCTCAGTGGCAATGCGTCTTTTAGATAGTCTTTTCCGCCCGAAAAACGTCACCCTTGGTCGGTTGTTTGCGTTTTCCTCTCTACCTTCCACCAACTTCGAATGAAGTTCGAATTCCCAGGTCATAGTTGCATGACGCGTTTCCACTGAGGTGTGGGAAAACAGTTCCAGTGGGATAAGGGGAGAAGAGAGGGAGTTTGCAGCAAGCAATGTGTTTACGCAGTGCTTCCTGTATCGTGCCCACGCGCTTCCTTTTCAAGGAGCAACCGCCCTGGCTGGCATGACACTGTTTCACCTCTTGTGCATTCGTCTACCTACAGGCCTCCTCAGCTGGCAAATCGACGACTAAGAAGGAACCAGCGCCTCCACCCCCGAGCAGCTTTGCACCAAAGGGCATCTTCGATGTGCCCCTTGATCTGCCACCGCCCCCGCCAGCGCAGATGATGCGTCCTGCGAAGAAGGTCGCCTCGCGTGTCTACGTCTGCCCCATCTGTGGCGACAATGCCCTCTCCAGCCTGCGCGAGCGAGACGAGCATCTGCAGGCCGAGCATCACGGCGAGCTGGTCTTTCCCTGTCAGGTGCGAACACATGCCTTCAATGCTTCCCTCAGACTCACCCACTCTTTCCCACTAGTCATAGTTATCATGTTAGTCGAAAGTGTCTTAACGCTTAACCAGGTGGCCTCTCCCCCTCTCTCTCTCTCTCTCTCTCCTCTCTCTGGTGGGTAGCTGGGTGGACTACCCGGGTTAGGAAAAAGGGACTGGGCTGCCGGTCGTTAAATGTGGACAATAAGTTGGTGAGAATTAGCATTAATAGAAGCAGCATGTAAGTAGGTCGCCTTTTTCCGCTTGAGCTCGTTGCTCTTTACTAACCCAACATGCAGTGCGTCTCGAGTACATTTTCAGGACTTTTAAGCCACATCTGCGTTGAAACTTCTTCTCTGTTAAAAAGGACGATGCAAGTGGTTAGGAGCCCAGTACTGTCGTCACCACGTCAACGATTGACGGATCAAGGCTAGGAATGTTAAGACAGTAGCCCTTCTATTGACCTGCTGCTCATCGGTCGAATCCCATATTGTTGACCATGTGCGCCGGGAACTGGGAAGTGCATGTTCCTGGTCCGCGTGTGACAAACGTCAGACGGCGATCCCACGGTCTCCAGTCAGCCTGGTCTGGGTAGAACATTGGCACAATTGGGAAGGGGAAGGCAGAGAGAGAGAGAGAGAGATTGCGGTCATTTGACCTCAATATCCTCACTGTGAATAATGAGACGCGCTTCCCGACTACCACAATGGGGTAAAAGCCGTGACCTGGATGGTTGCCTGCTGCCTGGTCATCTCGATCACCCCCCAAACCGGGGGGGGGGCGCTATTCTTCAGTGGCTCCTTAGCGTGCTTCTTATGGCACCCTCAACTGCATGACTTTTGCAAGCCTTTCTCATGATGCTTGCCTAGTGTGTCTTTGGAGACCAGGTCGTGTGTGCGTGTGTGGCACGCCTAGGCAGGCCACTTGACTTTTCAGCCCCTCTGTCCATAGCGATCTCAAGTTTTCTTGGCTTAGTCCCGTCCCACTGCAAACTTATTTCACTCAAGTCATCACTACACCCTCGGGAAGGTGACAGCCCCTCCGGCGACCAAACTAGTGGGATTTAGGACTTCGCGGTTGCACCAACTGTCTAAAGGAATGTGACGATCACTTCGCTCTGACCTTGCGCGGCACTCGGCAGGCAGCTGTGGCTTCTTGAGGTTGCCCTGAACGCAGTGGCCACATCCTGGTAGTCGCTCCTACCAGCAGTCAAGACCAAAGTAAGGTAACTGGCGTTTGTCTCCAACGCCGGCGATTTCGTGTTAAGCCGCATTAATATTGCACCTGGGAGCTGTAGGTCAGGCAAGCCACTGCAGCCAAGCCCTCTCCCGTCGTCCTGGCTTAGTCCCCACTACTGGAACTTAACGACAGTAAGCAAAGAAAGTGGATTGGATGCTGCAGTTTGCACCCGTGCTTTTACTTACACCAATTGTCACCACTCTCTGGCGTAGTCGTGTGGCCATGGTCATAGTCGTTTTCGGTAAGCGAACTACCAATACACTGGCAGAGGGGGGCGCTCACTGATCGTTTCTGCGGGCCCTCTCTCTCCTGCTTTGTCGGTAATACCATTCTGTCTATATCATGCGCCGCTGTGCGGCTGCTGGTTGGGCTCGAGAGAGAGCCCGTAAGGCACAACGGGACCAGCGAGTTCCGTAAAAACGATCGGTAAGCGCCCCCCTCTGCCATTGTATATTCTCGATCGCAACCGATAAGACAACGAACTCGTGGCTCAGGAGTTAGAGGCGTTAGACTTCTAACTAACAGGTCGCGGGGTCGAGCCCCAGGTGCTCCACACTTTGGGGTTGGGTATGTCTGGCTGACGGCGGCTAATCAGTCAGAAATGGCCATCCCAGTCTCTACTGTCTTTGTCGGTAACACCATTCTATCAGTACACCCTATGTAGACCACAGGGCAGAGGGCGATCCATTAACGGTGAAACCAACCAATATTTAGAACCTGCCTTACGTGTCGTCAAATGAAAATCAGGTTCTGTCCGTTTGACTCAGGATTCTGTGCGGATGTCAAGTCTAACTATATGCTTCAAGGTAAATAAAAACAGAAAGTCCCTGCAAGCATTTTTTCCCCTTGTACTTGCATTTTTGTCATGGATGAGTGTTGTCCACCTTCCTGGAAGTTGATATTGTAATGGCCCTATCGCATCAAGGCGGATTTCAAAATTTGCACGATCCCTTCTTACTCGCGCCACACACCTGTTTGGCCCCAATAGTCATATCCTTGATTTATTTCTCATTACTACATATCCCAGCCAACGCCATTCATGTCCCCGACTGCCCACGATGTTTAAACGCACATTTCTTGCTATTGCAAACGTTTCAGTAGCATTTAGTAGGTGTTTGGTAAATTTTGAGTAAGTAACACTGACAGGATACACTTGTCTCCTGCCCTTTCTGCTGTAGCTCTGTGGCATGGCCTATCCCCTGTACATTGCACTGCGTCGCCACGCCGTTCTCAAACATTCATCCAACTTTGACGCTGTGCTCTATGGCAAACCGGACGCTGAGCCCGTGGACTGTCCCTACTGCGAGCTGGTTGCCTTCACCAGACCCGAAGTTCTTCGTCTGCACCTGACCAAGATTCATCCGGATCAGGTACAACAGCAGGCCGTCGTTGCGGCTGTCGCCTCCGCCCTTGGACCCGAGGAGGATGACCTCAACGATAAGGACTGGACGGGGAGCAGCAAATCGACCGAACGCAAAACCAAAGGTATGCATTACATCGACATTTGTGCCCCGGAGGAGGAGGGAGGAGGGGCCCTGTCGCCAAACGGAGCCAGAGCCTCTTCTAGGTTTTTGGACAGTATTCGGAAGTAGTCATCACTCATAAACACTGGTGGCATCTTCGGGTGAGGTGGTTTCTTATCTGTTCTGTCCAAGTCATTGGAGGCATCCACCCAGTCTGAAGATGTAGACCTATTGACTGTGGAAACAGATTCCAATCGATAGGCAACCAGATCGGTCCTGTGTTGGCTAAGGGTGTTTGAGGTGATGTCGCGCAACTTTGCGTCACTCGAATGGGCTGTTTCAAGGACCGATTGCTGAGAGATGGCTCGTTGCATTCCACTTGGGGCCGGGGGTACAGAAGCCAATGATAACGTCTTTGGCAGTCATCTAGTCGTAATAGACCGGGGGCTTTATAACGCAACGACGGTTGCTAGCATCAAGGATTTGTCCCTTGTAGCGCTTCATTTTCTAACTCGATGGAAACCGTCATGACCTTCGTATCCTGTTCTGAATCTCCGTGGCCATGACTCCGTCGCGGATTCCTCCTAACAGCTTAGCACCTGAGACGGGTATGAATAAGCCAATAAGTCTTCTCCCGCTCTCAACGGGCGGTCATCTTCGCGTGCAAATGCCCAAATTCTTTTTTGATTCCTATCTTGGGAAGGCCTTGAAGGCGTTACCGTACGCTTTTAACTAAGGTTGTCCTGGAATGCAAAAAGCGAACTTTGCAGTTGAACGGAGCTGTATATTTATTACGTTTTACCTAATTTCTTTTTGATAGTTCTGGGGTAGACGAGGTTCGCATCGTCCGCTGGATCACTGGGGTCTCCCTGAGGTTGATTTACAAACTGCATATTTGGCCTTCCACTTCTGCAAACCACTGTCTACTGTGTGTGTATCAACACAATCTGCCTGACCCAGCTAGATCTAATAAGCCTGGCTGTTAGCTCTTGCTTATGAAAATGACAACTATCCGACGGCGCCGACCGCGTGTCCCGCGGAATAGGCGCAGTATCGCCGACTTTCACGTTAATTAGTCTATAGTGAAGTAGACCTGTGCAACACCTACGTCGTTCTCTTCCCTCAATCACCTCGCTCCAATAATAAGGCAGGTGGGCGCGGACACATTGGGCCGATAAAGTTTAACAGTCCGTCTACGGTTATCACACACATACGACCTGGTTCACGCCACATGTATCAGGCTTTCGGGGGGTTGGTTAGGGTCTCACGCGCGTGAGAATGTCATCAACGTCACAGTGAGGAACCATTGCTTCTCGGCTGTCAGTCCTGGGAGGCGCCGAGTTATTCCGTCAGTTGGTGACCTTCGAAGCCACGACTCTTAGCGCGCCAGGCTTATCGTAGTGGGGCGCGCGCTGGTTTGCTGCGAGAATGAATTCTACAGTGTCGGCCTCTCTCTCTCTCTGCCTGCCCGAGCGTGTTATCAGCTGGTGACGAGGTTGGGAGTGGTGACTGATGCCTATATCTGGCACGTGCCACCGCACCCGCGGACTCAGCGCAGCCCGATAGACGCGTTTCGTGAGCCTGTCTGATCCCCGTTTTCATGCAACGCAGGCCGTTGTGGGAGGGGGCAAATGACAAGTACTCACTGCATGGGACATAGGATCTGGATACCAGAAATATGGTGTTCGGCACATCAATCGGAATTGCCCGAAACGATCGCGCACTTTTGCCGCTGGTGTTGTGATTACTGTTTCTTGGGAATTAACGAATTTCATAAGTTAAAAAAATACCTGTGTAGTTTGCCCTTCTTGGCTGCATACTTAGGATATTAGTAATATCCCAAAGGTTTTTAGAACTGTTTGGGGAAAATGCGTTCAAGTAAAAACATCCCTTCCTGCAGTTCGTCATAAATGAAGAAATTTGAGGGAAACTCCCAAATCTTTTTTGCATTTCCGGCCCCTTTCTCTATAATGGCCAGCTTTTTCTCAAAAAGTTAATAAGCAGGCTTACCGTTGGCTCCGTCCACTCACGTTCTTTCTCGCGAGTCTTGCTTGTTACAAATGAGCAGAACAGTCTGTCAAACACGTTCAAGCCCTCAGGGATACGGAAAATCGACAGCACTCTTGTGCGCGTCTTTCACGACCAAAAATATCCTCCTTATCCCGCCTTTCCAATGCTCTTGTCTTTTTAGGCTGATGCCTTGGCTAAGACCCCTAAGCTAAGTTTCAGGTGGGTCATTGTTGACGGGTGGTAGACATATTCAATAGCCTAAGAGGATACAATGTAGACGCTTTTTCCCAGGAATCCACGCTCATTGTTTGTGTCCGTTATTCTGTACTTTTCAGAACCCGCTTCGCGCCGTGGTAACCATCACCACTCAGCAACAAAGTCTGGTGAGGCCTTCAATGAAATTGACCTTCTGGACGATCCCGACCTCCTAGAGTCCGTGGAGTCTCCCTTCGGATTTGGCGGTACCAGCCGTCGTGGCTCAGGAACCCGTCGCGGTGGTGGCGGCGCTAGAGGGCGCGGGCGTGGAGGCGCGGGGTCTCGGGGTGGTGCCAGGGCAGCCAAGGCATCGGTCGTGGCGCCAAGCTTTCTCTCCCAACGGCCGCTTCTCGTGGGGCAGTCCCAGGCGTCTGGCACTATCGATGCTTCCGCATCATACACAGTACTCCAGCCAACCAATCTTGCTGCTGGCGATGAAAAGTCCGAGGTGGTCGGTACTGGCACATTAGGGGGTCCCCTGCTGCTCACTGCGGTGGCCATGGACCCCCTTGAAGCTGTCCTCCTGCACGCCTCGGGGGCATTGGCGCCTGCCACTTGCCGACTTTGTGGTCCGCAGAACCCAGTCATGTTAGACAATGAGAAAGAACTTTGCATTCATCTAGAATTGGTAAGCGTCTACCCTTATCTTCCCTCTCCCATTGCCCTCTGCTTTCTCCCCCTCCCTCAAATTGCCTGCTCCTTCGCCTAATCATCATCTTTGTTCCCGTTTCATTCTACACTGTGTCAACCCTCCCTTCCCCCCACCTCTTGCTCCCTGTACCAATTTACTACCGTGCACATCTACGAAGTTGTTTACAAAGTGCGCCTGTTCAAACTAACGTTTTCTTGCGATCTAAAGTGGTAGTCTTTCGAAGAGCTGCTCTTCTTCGACCAAACACAAGTTTTGTGTCCGGTACAGTGGGCGGCTGTGTACGTTGTGAACCAGGGGGTGTGGTGGCGCGCCTAGATGCGGGTCCGTCCGCGCCAGCCACCTGCCCCCTCCCCTCCCGCCTCCGGTCTCCTCGACTCTCTCCTGACACCGAGTTCAGGTGGCTGAGGGAAGAGGGAGTGCGGTAGATGCCGCGCAAGTCCATTACCACTATAAACTAGTTCACGTGCAAGCCACCGCGCTTGCTGTGCAGCACACGGTGGACATCGTCGGAATCAACAGTCAAACTGTCGGGCTGAGTAGGACAACCTGTTGTCAACCTAGCAAAAAGGTGCAGACTCTTGGGTACTGACCGCCAAGCAGATCGTTAGTATGGGCTGGTCTCGGCCCACTGGGACGTTGCCAGTGAACTGGGCGAGGGTGTCCCCTTTTGTTGCATGCTTGACGATAAGACCTCTGAAATTAGCCTTTTTCGGCCCTCGTCTCGCATTCCAAAGATAAAACTATGAGATCTGTACTGTTTGCCACGTCTCGCCTTCTTTCGTCCTCAAATGTATACTTTCTAGGACTGAAGGCCCCGGCGTTGATGCCGATGACAGTCTCTTCGATGTAGCAACCAGGATGGTCCGGATAGTTTTTTATGCATCTTTGTCTGACGATTTGCAATTCCCTCGGCTTTCCTAAGAACACTACTCAGGAACGATCTTGTCACTTCAGGGTCCTCGGAATATCACAAAATACGCACAAGTCATTACTTCTGCCCCACAAAAGTTGGGGGCCTCGTCGTTGTTGACAGACGGACTATCGGTCTCTGTCAACTTCGGTCAATTCACTGGCTTTTTAGTCGCGTCCACTCCTTAATCATCGGCACGCTGTCCTTAAAATTACTGAGTTAGGAAATGTACATGCTCGGTTTAGCTGGAGGAAGTATAACTAATGGTCACCTGCGTAATCTTGCAGATTTACATAATAAACTTGCACCAGAAATAAAACCCGGCTCGCCTCGCAATTTTCTGCTACGCACCAACCCCCGTAGTGAATATCGCTTACACGTGTGTGTTACAGTGCATTTAGCTTTGCATTGACCCCTCTTTCTGCTCCCCACCCCACAGGATCACAATTTATCATCGACGTGTGAGCAACTTGGTTGTCAGGCCTGCGGTCGCATCTTCTTCGGTCCCAATCATCGGCAGGACCTGATTGGTCACTTCCGAATCTCGCACCAGGGTCAGGAGATGGCCCTCAAGTGTCCCAATCATGAACCCGTCCACATAACCACCTCAGAACAGGACGAGGAGAACGGTACGGCCGCTGGCGACGACTCCTCTGCTCTGATGACGATTACCGGCGGTGGCTGTCCGGCTAAGTTTACGTCAGCACGCTTGCGGGAGAGTCATCTGGCCGCCGACCCGACGCTTCAACCGGGTTGGGCCTGTCCGCTTCAACTGGAGGCCGAACTGCTTCAGGCCATGTCCAGTCCCGTGCAAATGGCCGACGGTTTCGATCCCATCGTCCTGGCCACGGAGATTGCCGCGGACGCAGCCGGACAGATGATCCTTGCTTACGGCTGTCCAAACTGCTCCCGTGTCTTTACTGGCGAGAACTGCACCGCTCGGTCAGTTTCTTTGTAGACGTGTCTTTATAATCTCTCCCCGGGTGGTGGTCATTTTTATTCTTAGCTGGCACACCCGCGTTGAATGGCAGGAAATTTCGGCCTTAGAGTAGAGACCGCTTATCACATCCTGGCTGTACCTCTTTCTGCGGTCAGCCCCGGTTTCTGCGAGTCCCCGTCCTCGTGGGAAATGCGTTCACCGATCAGGTTATACCCATCCAGTTGTTCCATTGTGCTCAATCAAGAGACCGCGCAGTTGGTCGCATAGCGAGTACCGCAAATACATGATGGACTGGGGTGGTAGTTTCTGCCTTATTAACTGTCGTCAGTCAGACATACCCAACCCCGAGTTTCCAGGACTTGGGATTCGAGCCCTGATCCTTTCTGTTTTGACCCTAAGGCGGGAACTCGAACCCATACAATTTACCGAGGTAGATATGCTCAATCTGTTATGCTACGAAGTACTTCCGGTCGCGGCACACGGAGCTTGAGGCTCCAATACGGTCTGAAATTGGGATATGACTAGCCGATAAGAAGGAACATACCAGAAATGTTCATTCAAGCCCGTCCTCCGCGCCGGAGCCTGAGCAGCCATGTTGACTTTCTCTTCACTACCACCACCCTGGTTCCCGCTGACGCTTTGTTCCTCCCCTCCTCTCCCTTACGCAGATACCTGACTCACCGGAGCCACTGTGACGCAATGGCAGCAGCCGCGGCGGGAGTTGTAGAGGAGCAGCACTTTGCTGTTGTGACGACGACCGACGGCGGCGGCGGCGGTGTACAGGCGGTGGGTCCTGCTCCGCTATCGACGATTCCGGAGCCCATGCAGCAGTAACAGTGACGAGTGCTCACCCAGGCCCACCTTCTGCACTCGCGCACTCAGCGTTGTACATATGCTGTCCATGTAGGACTTGCCCCTCCCCCCCCACTCCCTCTCATCGTTGCGTGTGTATGCATTTTTGGCAAAAATGCAGGTTTGTGTGTGCGTGTGTGCTCTGTGTATGCTAATATTTACTGCACTTGCACGGCTGCCGTCTTAGCTCCTTTTACTCCTATTTATAAACACGATATTACTCTTCCAGCATGTGTACCTTGGCCGTAAGACTGGATCCTCCCTCCACTTGTCCCCCCCCCCCCACTAACACTCTGCACACCTAGTCTCGCCCTTCTTCGCGACCACCCCGAAGGCCCGCCCAGATGTTAGAAGTCCTCCTATTTGTGTTTCTACGAATTTTTCTACCAAACTACAGTCCACTGCATCCTCTCACGACCTCTTCTTTTTTGTGAGTGCCGATAACGCAATGGGGTGAGGGGGTAGGAGTCTTGGTTCCGTTTCTGAGTTTGCGGCGAGCAAGCTTGTTGTTGCCGATTTGTAGGGGCTAAGCGGTGATAGTGTACGTTCAGTACGCCACAACTTCAGGCCATATCCCAAGTTGTTAGAAGCAGGACGCCATTTGGTTAGGACACTTTATTCCGTACAGAATAGAGAAGGGGAAATTTGGCAACCGGACGAGAATGCGTCCGGCATCGCGGGGGCGGTGTCCGCGAGGGTGACGAGCCCTGTGTCGCCAAAGGTCGCCGCTGCAAAAGTGTCATTGCAGATTGTTTACTCTATTGTTCTGGACTGTTCCCGCCTGTCTTACCAATCAGAGATAGGAGTTGCGTTGATTGGCTCCGAGCCCACGCGAAGGTAGTGACAGGCCTCGCGTGGTGCAGGCAGAGAATCGACCGAATGCGTGGTGCAGACAGTGAATTGCAACGAGGCAAATGGAAGCCGGGCAGACGTGCGTGCCATAGCAGGCTGTCGCTAGGACGTAGGTGCAGGCGCTAGCGAGAGGCACGTAGCCATTATAGCTGTCCACTACCGATTAAAACTGCATGAACGGGATTTGAAGATCCGGCAAGTTACTCAGTATTTCGTCCTCTAAGCCCGTCGGTATTCGGACTGCTCCTTAAATCATTGGTTGAAGACTGCCCTGTGCGATCTGGAGGGCGGAAGACGGCGAAAATCCAACGGTGCGCAGATGCGCTCATGGTGTTCCGACGTACTTTTTATCGCAAAAAGGGACGGTTCATTAGGGGGATATTTACCGTGTGCTTTGGTGTCCATTCCTACCATTCGCAACGATTGCAGGTGAGAAGTCGGCAAATCTACCGAAAAATGGGGATTAGGACGTTGTCCCGAGGGCGGTGATAGTAGAATTAATTAGGGTGAGCTTCACCCTAATGGCTGTCGCCGGTTACGACGGGCGAGTGTCGGTAATGTTATTCCGCCTATATTATGCACCTCTGTGCGGCTGCTGGTCAGGCTCGAGAGAGAGCCCCAAGGCACAACGGGACGAGCGAGTTCAGTAACACGATTCTTGAACGCCCTCAAACCATTGAGCTATCAGTTCTATCTGGCCATATGCGCACACGCAAGGACTATCGCTCAGACGTCCATATTTCGCAGAATAGTCATGTGGTTACGCTCTCCAAAGTCAGTAACAGCAGTCAACGGAGATAAGGCGACATCAGGCACTACCTCCAGTCTCATAACCTCGAATCGGCATGGCTAGAAGATGTCGCTGCTATATGCTGGGAGGAGGGTAGTCGATCTAATGCCCGATTTCATCACGACAGACTGCTGTGCTAAACTTCGCGGTCTAGAGGGTCGCAAAATGATAGTAATTCTATCATACCCAGGACCGATGATCCAGTTACAATGGTGTCTTGCTTTGGCCTCACATAGGCGAGGTCGGTACTTAATGAGGTCCGGATTGTGCGAACCCGGAACGAATTCGACCACTGCGCCCACGTCCACCTGCAGCAGGAAACGGTCTGCTACGGAAACACAGGGGGCGTCGGGAAACCCGTCGCTTGCGACTGACGAACCAAAGCAATCCAAGTCGAGAACAGCTGGTCCCCATCTGGCCCACCTCAAACTCAATTGACGACCGCTAAGGCTAGCGGAGCTGGGTTGCCGGCCTACTGCAAAACTGTCGCGTTCTTGCAAGTACACAGCATCCTTGTCTACTGCCCCTGGGCGGCTGATTAGACTGCCGCAGGTCGGAATCTGTAAGTCATGCCACTCATGCGCCATTCGGCTGGCAGGAGATCTTGGCGATGAACTGAAGATGAGGGTGTCCGACGCTGCTGGGCGCCAGTCCGAGGGCATGTCTACGTCAGCCTTGAATTTGATTGGCTGTTCTGGGTTGCTGTGATTGGCTGAACACTGGGCAGAGCCTCTCAGTTTCAGAGACTGGCTAGACGCGATGAATGCCGGACGGAAGACTGAGGATGCTGTTTACTTGCAAGAACGCGACAGTTTTGCAGTAGGCCGGCAACCCAGCTCCGCTAGCCTTAGCGGTCGTCAATTGAGTTTGAGGTGGGCCAGATGGGGACCAGCTGTTCTCGACTTGGATTGCTTTGGTTCGTCAGTCGCAAGCGACGGGTTTCCCGACGCCCCCTGTGTTTCCGTAGCAGACCGTTTCCTGCTGCAGGTGGACGTGGGCGCAGTGGTCGAATTCGTTCCGGGTTCGCACAATCCGGACCTCATTAAGTACCGACCTCGCCTATGTGAGGCCAAAGCAAGACACCATTGTAACTGGATCATCGGTCCTGGGTATGATAGAATTACTATCATTTTGCGACCCTCTAGACCGCGAAGTTTAGCACAGCAGTCTGTCGTGATGAAATCGGGCATTAGATCGACTACCCTCCTCCCAGCATATAGCAGCGACATCTTCGAGCTATCCCATTTAGGGTGGGAGTAGTTACTCCCTCGCCGGAAGGAAGAACCCTAATGGGTGTTTGCCTACTGCCCCTGGGCGGCGGATTAGACTACCACAGGTCGGGATGTGTAGGTCATGTCACTCATGCGCCTTTCAGCCAGCAGGGGATCTTCTGCGTCCAAGAGCAGATGATGCACACTTTCTGTCAAACGAACGAACAGCCTGGGAAGTGGCCATTTCCGGTCGTCCCGAACTCACTGGGAATAGCTGACTTGGCGTGACCCACTTTCCGAGTAAGGGACGGAAAAAAAACGGATCCACACACACCCTGGTAGGACGGCCGGCGTTAAAAGGACATCAGAATGCTGGAGTTGGAGACGCTATCGTGGAAGGATGCTGGTTACCACCTCTCAGTCGGCATGTTTCTTGTCGCGCTGTGGCCCCAGCTCCATGGGAAGGAACTCTCCGCTGTAGTTAATTCCTACGTGTTGTGAAAGGTAGATTCTAAGAGAATCCCCGCTCCCTTATCATGCAAATGCCCAAGTCGGAAGAGCTTGACACTCTTAGACATTTCGAAGCATGCAGGGGAAGGGTGTAAACAGTCATCACGGAGTCGGCAGGGGCATCAGCAGCTAACTTCTTCGCCGACTGAGGCAGATAGACGAGTTCCAGGGGGCAGTCCAGAAGAAGAGGGTGCAATCGCTG